TTTACATCAATAGTTGTGATTTTCCTAATGTAATTGTGCTGTGCCTGTTTACATCAATAGTTGTGATATTCCTAATGTAATCGTGTTGTGCCTGTTTACAGCAATAGTTGTGATATTCCTAATGTAATTGTGCTGTGCCTGTTTACAGCAATAATTGTGATATTCCTAATCTTCTTCTTCTTCTTCTTCTTCGCGTTCACCAGCTGTAAACTCTGGCGGAAGGTTCTGGTTGCTCGTCCACTACTGAACTGCAGTCCTGCTCCAGAACCTGAGTGTTGCGTGTGCATCAGTTTTACAGATCTCATTCTCTTGAATACAGACTGTTGGTTCCTTGCCTCTCCGGCAGATGCACTCCGACTTCAAAGGAAGCTCCCCAATTAGTCGACTCTTACGACATGCTTTTGGGGAGGCAGTGGGTCTATTCTTGTTTTCCCCACAATGGGGCCCCGGAACCCACACGGGGGCAATATTCCTAATGTAATTGTGCTGTGCCTGTTTACAGCAATAATTGTGATATTCCTAATGTAATAGTGCTGTGCCTGTTTACAGCAATAATTGTGATATTCCTAATGTAATTGTGCTGTGCCTGTTTACATCAATAGTTGTGATATTCCTAATGTAATCGTGTTGTGCCTGTTTACAGCAATAGTTGTGATATTCCTAATGTAATTGTGCTGTGCCTGTTTACAGCAATAATTGTGATATTCCTAATGTAATTGTGCTGTGCCTGTTTACAGCAATAATTGTGATATTCCTAATCTTCTTCTTCTTCTTCTTCGCGTTCACCAGCTGTAAACTCTGGCGGAAGGTTCTGGTTGCTCGTCCACTACTGAACTGCAGTCCTGCTCCAGAACCTGAGTGTTGCGTGTGCATCAGTTTTACAGATCTCATTCTCTTGAATACAGACTGTTGGTTCCTTGCCTCTCCGGCAGATGCACTCCGACTTCAAAGGAAGCTCCCCAATTAGTCGACTCTTACGACATGCTTTTGGGGAGGCAGTGGGTCTATTCTTGTTTTCCCCACAATGGGGCCCCGGAACCCACACGGGGGCAATATTCCTAATGTAATTGTGCTGTGCCTGTTTACAGCAATAATTATGATATTCCTAATGTAATAGTGCTGTGCCTGTTTACAGCAATAATTGTGATATTCCTAATGTAATTGTGCTGTGCCTGTTTACATCAATAGTTGTGATATTCCTAATGTAATCGTGTTGTGCCTGTTTACAGCAATAGTTGTGATATTCCTAATGTAATTGTGCTGTGCCTGTTTACAGCAATAATTGTGATATTCCTAATGTAATTGTGCTGTGCCTGTTTACAGCAATAATTGTGATATTCCTAATGTAATAGTGCTGTGCCTGTTTACAGCAATAATTGTGATATTCCTAATGTAATTGTGCTGTGCCTGTTAACAGCAATAATTGTGATATTCCTAAGGTAATTGTGCTGTGCCTGTTTACAGCAATAGTTGTGATATTCCTAATGTAATTGTGCTGTGCCTGTTCTGTTTACAGCAATAATTGTGATAATCCTAATGTAATTGTGATGTACCTGTTTATAGCAATAATTGAGATATTCCTAATGTAATTGTGCTGTGCCTGTTTACAGCAATAGTTGTGATATTCCTAATGTAATTGTGCTGTGCCTGTTTACAGCAATAGTTGTGATATTCCTAATGTAATTGTGCTGTGCCTGTTTACAGCAATAGTTGTGATTTCCTAATGTAATTGTGCTGTGCCTGTTTACAGCAATAGTTGTGATATTCCTAATGTAATTGTGCTGTACCTGTTTACAGCAATAGTTGTGATATTCCTAATGTAATTGTGCTGTACCTGTTTACAGCAATAGTTGTGATATTCATAACTTGTTAAACACTGACATAATGTCCAGTTCATGCAGGAATGAAAAAGATTTGTTGGCCAGGGAAAGGTCTAGTGGTAGAGAGAGTAAAAGTTAAATCCCACACAGGACGCCATACTGAAGGTATAACACCTGGCAACATACACAGTCACTATATACATGAGATTCCCTAGTTACAAATCAGAGAAACCCCATTCAACCTTAACGTTTTATGTATAAAGGGGCCCTGATGGTTAAAATGCAATATGAAGTCTGAACAGGTAGGGTGTGCTTTTTTTTTTTTTTTTAATTCTGTGTATGTGTGTGTGTGATTGAAAGAGAGAAAGAGAGTGTGTGAGAGAGAGTATGTGTGCTTGTGTGTGTGTGATGGAAGGGGGGGGGGGGGGAGGACGTGCACACAAAAACAAGGTTCACACACTTCTGAAATACTGATATAATGCCTAGATCATGCAGGAATGTGAGGTAATGAATGAGGAGATCTACTGGCAGGGCGAAGTTTCTCTGGCAAAAACAATCATGGCAGGTAAAGCTAACATTGTAAAGATTATCATGTTGCATAAAGATCTATGCTCCACAAGGAGATAAAAGGGACCCTTTTCCACGCCATTAGGCCTATTTGGCATATAGGGCTAGACCTACATTTCATAGACCAATCGGCACACAGTGGGTGATGTAATCACATTTACTTCCCAAGACTTTACCTGGTGCCCATTTAAGGCTTGGTTAATCCGAGAGCCAGGGTCATTTTTAAAATAAGTCCGGCTCTATCGGGACCTGAACATTTCCAATCTACAAATGAGCATCTAGCCGCTACACTATGGTGGCTCCCAAGGAGATGAGAGGAAGGGGAGAAATAAAGGAGGCTGCAGAAGAGTATGTCCAAAATACATTATCAAAATGAGAATGTTAAAAGACAGTGGATACAAAAAAAATGGAGAAGAATCTTGATGAGCCAGAAAAATGACAAGAACAACCAACAGTTGTACTATCAAGAACATGAGAAATTGCTGTTTGCAAAGGGAGACAATCACCTTCAACAGCCTGCGATACATGGTGAATGCTACAAGATATAAACAGTGTTAAAGAAGACACTACTAGTCTTAAATAAAACACCAACATAAACTGTTTATATCCTGGTAAACACTGTATGATGTTTTTTTAAACAGATTCTACAGATGTTAAGTTTTCATATTTATGAGGTCACAATAAAGAAAACGTGTTGCTACAAACTAAAATCTGTACACAGAAGGGTAGACAATGACCATGAAATTCTAGTCATCCTGTTTTAGAATGCAATATTTTGTGTTATTATGAACCCCCACCCTAACTCTTGCCAAGGGCCCGCAATATAGCCCAGCCATAAATATGGCCTAATGGCTGAATGCGGTTTCCAGGACCTCTTCACGGGTGATCCTCATCCACATGGTGGCACTTTGTGTCATCGAGTGTTTATTGCTTGTGTGATGTTCTGGTGGTCTAAAATGTACTACTTCTACTACAATGACCATGTCACCTTTGAAAAAATGTTCTCTTCATATAAAATCGATAAGGATAAAGAACTATTAACCTAAAGGTATAACAAATCCACTATTTTAATGACACACATTAGCAAGATTTTCTAAATATTCTTATTTCTTCTTCTTCATTGTTGGTCCAAGTGATAAAATTACACTGTGCCTGTTAACCGCATAACTGCATTATTTTTGCCTTTTGGTCGATATATATATCTGACTTCATTAGGCCTTTATCAAGAGAAAATACAAGGAATTGTGGAGAGAACAAACTAACAGTAAACATCCACAAGACCCTATCAGCAGGCTCAACAGAAAGCAACATACAACAATTTTTCGTTTACGAACAGGGCACTGTAGGTTTAACTGCCACATGCATAAAATAAATATTGTACAGTCACCACAGCGTTCCTATTAAACAGGACCATAAACACATTAGCACAGCTGCAGACTTGCCCACTCTACACACAACTTCGAAAAGACACCCGGCCTCAAGAGCAAAGTGTGCAGAGCAAGCTATGGGAAACCATGAAGGACCTGCTGCTGACAAACGAGTTCATAGAGGCAACCCACCTGATGGTCTGATCTAAGCATATGAAACCGAACGCAAAAAAGAAGAAGACAGGGGCTTTTGTCCACCAGGTTAGCCTTCCTGTCTTTTTTTTTTTAAAGGACATGACGTAGTCTTATTCGTGTGTTCTTTTTGTTCCTTTGTCTACAGGTGTTGCATCTTGGGGGACCTATCCAGGTTAACTGCATGTAGAGTGGTCGACCTCAAGGAAAGGCAGGGAAGATCATGGGCATTTCCAACCATCCAAGGCTTCCATTTCAGAAATGACCTTGACTCTCAGATCGATAGGTTAAATGGCTACCAAGTACAGTCCTTGGAAGTAAAGGCAGCCAGCGTGAAGTTGACCACATTACCCACCGAGATCTGATTGGTCTATAACATACTGGTCTAGCCCAATACGCCTGAACGCATGGAAGAGGGTCTTTTACTTTACTTATTTTACAGTGTAGTTAAATTCCATTGGCTATGTGTGTGCAGTGTTTAACAGGTCTAGATATGAATATAAAAACTAAAAAATTACATTTAAGGGCTTTTTCTCATGCGCAATGTGTTTTTTCAAAGCTAAGCTGATATAATATTTTCCTGTAAGCCTCAGTGAAGGAGGTCATGAGGTCATGGCATAAGTTAACTGATAAATTTTGTTTTTATGGCAGAGGTAAGTACTATATGCAATGCTTTACTCTGATTATGTTTACTGATTTTATATATCTTTATAAATTTTGAACAACAAATGTAAAAATGCTAGTGAATAAATGTTCAACAATTTATTAGTGGCTTGTATTTAAAAAAATCTCAATGGCAATTTTCTGGGGATTTCCCTATTTTTTAAGCATTTGCAAAAGGGTAAAATATGAATTTTCCCTCAAATAAAAATATGTTGCAAAGTCAATGTAACAGCATGCACTGGGTGTCACTGTAACATAATGTATTGGTTTTAAACATACAACTGAAGTGATAGATTTTTGTGTTACATTATGTTACACATTACACTTATTCTCTGAAATTTACATTCACTTTTGAAACACAGACGTTTTCGGCAAAATATAGTTATGTTTATCACTTATCCACTTCATCGCTCATACACTCATCAACAATGGGAAAGTGAGAATGAAAGCTGATTGGCAGAGTTTCCAGAGACTTCAAGTTGACCAAAACAGCCAAACTTGATTGGCTGAAACGGGGGACAGTTATCAGCAGTACCTCCTGATTGGCTGGACCTGAGAAAGAAGATAAAACAATTTAAAATCAAATGTAATTCTCACTCCCCAACCCGTAAAATGTTTTAATCAGCATGCCACAACATTATTTTTTAAACATTAAATTAGATTACATTTTTCTAACGTTATATAATGTGTTTTTATTTACTCGTACATTGTTATGGTTTAATACAAGACCTTTTTAATAATAAATTAAAACTGAAGTCAAACTGAACTACAAATGGCCCATACATACACACACACACACACACAAACAACTTATTTGAAGGCAAAAGGACGCTATCCATGTCCCTAACACATCAAGCATATGGTGTTTAATCAACTTGAAGTGATGTGATTGACATCATGCCAGCCATCATCTTCTTCTTTGCCTTCAACAGCTGTAAACTCTGGTGGAAAGTTCTGGTTGTTCGTCCATTTCTGGACTTTAGTCTTGTTTCAGAACTTAAGTTTTGCATGCACATCCATTTTTCAGATCTGGTTTATTTGCATGCAGACTGTAAGTTTCTTGCCTCCCAGGAAGATGCACTCCGACTTTGAAGGAAACCCCTTATTATTCAACTCTTACAACATACTTGTTAGGGAAGCAGTGGGTCTACTTTTTTTTTTTATCCCACAATCCACATGAGAAGCCAACCATCTTTACTTTCCACGATATTTCCCATTTTATGCTGGGTAAATCTGGTAATTCTAGGTCAATTATAAAACTCCACCTTAATGCAGACTTAAACCAATGATCATTAGGCTTGGAGGCAAGCATCTAACCACTGTGCAATAGGTTCACCTGAACTTATTTGTTGTTGGCACCTTTCCATCTTCCCAGATGATAATGTTACACTGTGGGAGTTTTGAGAATCACAGCCCATGGCAATGACGAGTTAGACTAGAAAGACCCACTCATGTTATGAAAAGTCTTCCACAATTATAGCATAGGATTTCATGACCATTGTTGCCATTGCATATATTTCATGTGCTTCTCCTCAGCGCTGATATGTCATTGTGCAATCATGTTCCCCTTTATTCCTATTCCCTTCATTTTTTCCCTACATGCAATAACGTCCATCATCCTATGAACCGAACTCAATATATGTGTAATTTACGTGCCGCTTGCACACATCTTTATATCATAGTAGAGACCTACCTCAACATCTTCTACCCACTTGTACAATGTAATTGGAGCGATTAGTTTATTCCTGAACAAACAAATCAACACAGACATTCAAAACTTTGTTGGAAACTCATACCTTTATGGATTTTACTGCTAAATTCTGGCTGACAGCCAGCAAAGAAGATATGAGGGCACTCAGTTAGAATGAATGGATCCTCTTTGACAAATGGAAAGCAACCTGCAGAATTACACATTTGGAAACTGTTATAAATTAATTTTCAAATGAAATCATTAGTTGTTTTTTTTCTTTAAATTTACAGATAATGTTTTGTAATTTACAGACAATATTCAGTAAACATAATGTTATACTTTTAACAAACAACACAACTGATAAAACTAAAAGTGCCCATACTCTCTGAGAATGACCACATGTAGGCAGGCTCCTAGTGCTGTGTTACTGGTGTTGGATGAAAACTTTACAAATCAGTCAAACTAGAACAGAAATTAATATATCATTTTTTTTTACGGCTTACTGATTAGTTGATGACGGGTGATCCTGCTTCTTAATATCTTAGGATCTCCGACAGCATGTATCAGTTCATTGCTGATTCCTGTTCATGCCAGGACAAAATGCTGTCAAGGAACTTCTTCCATTGTCTTCCTCGATCTCTCATTCCAACTGTCACATGTTTTTTCTTATAATGCAACCACAACATGACAAGTTGTTTTCTATAAAACTGTAGTGTCTATCTTTCATAAACTGAATAATTTCTGTGTTTAGATTATGTAAGAACTCAGTAAACTTGCCTAATGTGTCTGGAGCAGTAGGTGCAACATGGCCCCAATCCAGGGTGTTCTCTAATGCTAGCAGTCTGTCATCAATCTCACTGTACTTGACAATATCATCGATTGGTTGGCCAGCCGTACCTAAAATGCTGGGAATGAAAATAAGCAGAATATTACTTGGCCAAGGAGTAACAGCGAAGGCCATAGGAGCTTTAACGACTCAAAGAAATCAGAAGAATTTGTTAGGGTATTCATATGGGCTGTGAGGCGCCAACACTGAGGGGTGAGGTGGGGAGGGACCCATAGTCAGTTAACAAGCATGTTGTAAAAGGTGACTAATTAAGGGTATGCTGAAACTGGAAATGTTGAGCTTAAAGGCGTAGGTATACATCAAAGAATGAATAACTTTCATTAACTTTAAATACGCTCTTTTTCTCAATTTGCAACCCTTTAAAAATAAATTCATGTACACATAAAATTTAGGTTATAGAAAATGGCTGAAGTCCATAAGTGGATGAACAACCAGAACTTTCTGCTGGTGTTTACAGCCGGTGAATGCAACGAAGAAGAAGAAGAATGATATAATCAGTTTGCCAACCCTGCTAAGTTGCCTCTCACGACGATCGGTCGATTAGTTATATTAATTTTGCTTTTCTTAAGGAGCTCATTATCACATAAACAAGTTCACAAATCAGACATTTAAATAATCAAACTCAATCAATATAACTATGAGAGTGAACTAAAAAAAAAACACATTCGAAGACAAATTTGCTAAACTGTAAATGCACTCAACAGGGTACAACATACCGAATGCCATCAATGGTAAAATCGCATGGGTTAGTCTGGCAGTGTAGTGTGTTGAATCGTGATGACTGCGGCAACAGGCAAGGGTGGAGCGGCTGCTGGGGTAGGGTGAAGTTGGATGGATCAAACTCACCAGGGATCACAGTAACGTCAACATTTGACTGCCAGACACACACAAAAAGAAAATGTAATAAATTTTGAATTTTTTTATTTAGCATATAGCTCTAAGTTATTTTTAAGCTTTAAGTTCATAGCAAAAGCGATGGACATCGCTTAGTAAAGTCTGGCATATGATATAACAACGTCTAGTTTGAGAATGAAGGTGGAGGTGGTCACTGCTGGCTTCCGTTGGCTTGAGAATCAGCTCCATACACATGTAGTAAATTAATTGACTCACAGAGCATGTTGAGAAAGGTGGTCACAGGAATGCTCCATGCTGAGTGGCAAGCATCGCTTTGATATTTTTTCATGCGAACGAAAGAAGAAGAAGATATTTTTTCCAGGTAATGCCGGTGTATTAGGAAACAAGCAGGCAGACAGACTGACCGGTTCTGCGCCTGTTAGTGGTAAACTGATGTATGACGAGCTAGACACTGTGAGGGCCCTTTGGGAGTGAGTAATCAGTGAGGAGACACAAACAGATCATTACGATTTAAGGAAAATGGCGCTGTGAAGTTTCCAGGGGATCTGGCCGATGCTCAACACTCAGGAAAAGGTGAGATGAATATACAATCAGACAATTACTGGTGCCATCAGAATTGAAACTCTTCGCTTGCAACTGAAGATAGGGACGGAGCGCTTATGGGAATGTCCCGAGTGCTGTGATGTTGATTCTTAATTCTACACTCAAGTTATGAGACTTTGAAATCCTCTGCAGGCAGTAAAGATCTAAAGCTTTGTTACTGATAACTTGCTTCGTAATTTTAAGGTGTCAGTTTGATTCCATCTATGGGCGATTTGACTGCAAACCACTTTGTCTTCATTTTGACCATGGTACATAGAGTAACCATTCAGAGGCAATGCCAAACTACCTAAAATTGTCTTGTAAAATTAAACACAACAAATGCCAGGGTTGGTTCTGCAACATCCTGTAAAGGATAGACACAAAACAAAAACAAAGTGTTGAAATCTTGAAAACTGACAAGTGAGGATAATTAACACAGCCCTCCAGAAAGATCCATTGGTGCAATGTATTGGTAACTGAGCAACATAGCCTAACATAACACTTTTAGGGGATAAAAAATCAATCAAATTTCGCAATTACTAACATGGTCAAATTTTTTTAATGTTTAGGGTATATGATGGTAGCCCTGTAGTGTTGTACACTCAGATGGTGTTGTGGTCAATATCAAACTAAAAAAAAGTAAAAAAGTAAAGGACCCTTTTCCACGCCATTAGGCGTATAGGGCATATAGGGCTAGACTTGTTTTTTTATAGACCAATCGGCACAACATGGGTGATGTAGTCAGCATCACAACGGCCGCCTCTACTTCCCAGGACTGCACCCGGTACCCATTCAAGGCTGGGTCAACCTGGGAGTCAAGGTCGTTTTTGAAAAAAGTCCGGCTCCGCCAGGGAGGGAACCCACGACAAACGTCTAGCCGATCCGCCACAGGGACTCGCCAATATCATACTGCCCACCTTTATTTCCCAGATCAGCCTCCCTGTGTGGGTTTCTATAGCCATATTTTGAGGCCATTATGAAGAAGAAAATAACAGACCCACTACCCCCTTTCCCAAACAACCAACCATTTCATAAAAGGTGGCTAATTAGGGGTTGTTTCCTTTTAAGTCGGAGTGCATCTGTCCGAGAGGTGAGGAACCAACAGTCTGCATACAAATAAGCCAGATCTGTTAAAACAGGTATGTATACAAAATTCAAGTTCTGGAACACGACCAAAGCCCAGAAGTGGACAAACAACCACAACTTTCTGCCAGAGTTTACAACCAGTGAACCCTAAAATGAAGACTCCCAGAACAAATACCGGTACCCATTTTAGCCTAGATCATACTTATGCAGCTAAGGTGTTCATGCTTTGACAGGCATTCTGTTGAGAGAGACTGAGCGATATGGGGAAAAAACCCGTAGCAATGATGTTGATCCTCTCAACTTGAAGTCAGGAAATGTTTTTGGTCAAATACCCCAGTAGATGAGACCAGAAATATAGGTCAATGTGGACGTGTCTGCAGTAAATTCCTAACGGCAAGTACTGAACACTTTCATTACTCACCACTAACTGCATAAGAAAACTGTCCAAAGATTTAATGGCTTCCACACTTGCTGCAGATTCTCTCTTTGACAAATACTTGGCCTGCGTAGGAGAATGAAAACTAATGATCTTATATACAAGAAGCATAAATAAACAGTCTCTATTTTTCATACACCAATGTGTGTCATGATCTTTCTCAATATTTTCTATAAAATCCAGCAGCATGTCTGTAAACACAAATTCTGAAAAAGTTAAAAGCCTCTTCTAACAAGCGTGTGTTCTCATCACTTTTCTTTACCACAGTGAAACGGTCGATTTATTCATACCAGGTGAAGTGGCTAAACAGTTTTCACATGCAATGCCTATGAAGAATACTTGGCATTAAGCTGCAAGACAAGGTCACAAACACTACTATACTGGAAGCAGCAGGTTTCAAAGCGGCAGGTTCCATATCAGTTTTCTCAATGATCAGTCTCTGAAGATTCAGACGGCTAGGTCACACTTGGAAAAAATGGAGAAATAAAGTGTGTGTGTGCCTAAGGACATCCATTGGTAATTACAGATGAGAAGATGTAACGACTGGCCTCTACCACAAACTAAAGATGTTTGTAGGACATAAATAATAAAGCTACTGACATGGATTTGTAGGAACAGGATGCCATGGACCAATTTGCAAGGAATGGGAAACCAGGAAGGGGATGGAGATACAGGAGAAAATGACTGCAGATAGGTAAAGAGCTGAGCGCCTAAAAAGACAAATTAAATACATGTGATGGTAATGGCAATAACAGTCTTGAAATCCTATACTCTAACTGCAAAAGACTTTACTTAATGCAAACAGATTTTACTAGTCACACTCACTGTACCCATCTGCTATGATTCATATGCTTCTCTATAGCACTATCTAACACTTTAATCTGGGAAGTCAGAAAAGTGCCAAAAATTCTTCTTTTATTTAGGTGACAGTGCAGACAAATAACCCTATGTATCATGTTTTGTTAGGCCCTATATTCCATAACTTCTAACTTCAATACTGTTTACCAAAATCTCTGTTCTGATAAATACACTGAAAAACTTACCTTGCTAAGTGTGTCTCGGTCCTGCGTAGCCTCATTAAGTGAGTTTCCTCCAATAATCACATGACAGATTGAAGCGGATGCTTCCAGTTGGTCAGGGTCACCGAGCTGCCCACAAACTAGGTCAGCCAACATTTGCATTTGAAACAGCCTGTCTGCCTGACCTCCAAGTTCAAATCCGCTCACAAACATCACATACCTAAATAACACAATTGTAAAGATTAGCCAAAGTTTACCAAATATTAAAATACAGGGTGTCCCATAAGTTTCCATATATAAAAAAACAAATTTTTTTAATGAAAACCATTGTTATTTATACAACATGCTTTACATGAATAGTATTGTTTTCAAAACACATTTCAATCCGTGCCCTCCACTGCTGAAGAATAAGTGTAGGCACAGCTGGAGTTATTCTTGTAATGGTGTGTCACAAGTCAGGTTCATTTGTGTAAGTGAAACATCTATGTCACATTTACAGAAAGTCACAGAATATAATGCCACCTCTACACACACTGATGGACACAGAAAATACTGCTGCTGACAGGGTGACTTCACTAGGAAAAGTCTAAGGCTTATAAAGACAGACTTCCCAAGTAAACAGTATAATAAACTTAATAATAATACAATTTTTTTTTTTTTACATCAAATGAATTACAGTAACACAAAATTATGTTTGTCTAAAGAGTGTGTCACCAACATGTAAATTTAGGAAAGCTCTGCAGTAGCCAATGTTTTTGTCAGGTCTGATATATGAGTTTGAATATACTGTTTCTCTGCATGATATTAACATACTTTTTTTTTTTCCAATTTGTATTTCCATTTATACAGTTCAATGCAGCCCATCAGTAAACACCAAAATTCTGTAATATCTACTTTGTTTCAGTGTCAAAACTTTTTGCTCAAACTGTTTTTAAGACTCTTCCTCCTCCCTTAGTTTTTTTTTTACCACTTTCTTTGCTTACTTGTAAAAAGAGCTTCCTGTCAAACATTTTTTTTTTAAATCCAATCTCTTTATTTCTCTCTCCATTTGTAAACTTTTATTTCAGTATCAACAGTTCTGTATCAAACTCTTTTTGCCCCCCCCCCCCTTCTCTCTCTCTCTCTCTCTCTCTCTCTCTCTCTCTCTCTCTCTCTCTCTCTCTCTCTCTCTCTCTCTCTCTCTCTCTCTCTCTCTCTCCTGCAAACATTTGGATGCACACCATTTTAGTTCACATTTATCTTTTCTTCCAAATCAATTTCCAGTATCTGCATCTTACAGAGGTGTCTATATTCATTTATTTATTCATTTTTAAAACAGTTCTTGCTAACAATGACTAGCAGATTCTGAATTCTCCAAAGATAATTGGAAAAATGAGTTTGAATGTTTGGATGCAGAAATGTAAACAAATTGGAAAATGATAAAAGAAACTGCTGAAACAAATTATTTAAAATAAAATTACTTGTCATGTTCCATGACAGGTCTAGGAACCTGCTGAGGCAAGTCTTGAAAACAGTAATCCTCCACGTAAAACTTGCCCTTGTCCTCCGCTGGTTCTCTACCGAGAACAGCAGCTACAATACCTGAATCAGAGAATATAATTGTGACACTCAAGTCATTACAAACGTACCTGATGCAGAATGCCTGATACAAAATAGTAGAAAAACACTGGGGCGAGTGCACATGTATGGGAGAGCGTATGTAGGACAGTGAGAGACAGACAGGCAGACAGGGACTCTTAGGTGCAATGCACTGAACAGTTAAGGGAAAATGAGGAAAATACTTGACTGGTTGTATTTAGTCTAGAAAGTGTATAAAGTATAGACAAAAATTTAAGTTTTCCACACTTGTGCTGTCCTTGCATTTTTTCCAGGATCAATTACCTATTTTCCATTTCTCCCTAAGAGCAGTGAGCAGCAGAGAATTATCCCTCTCCCTCTGTGTGTGTATGTGGATGTGTGTGTGTGTAAGCACGAGTATGTGCATGCATTTTACAACCCATGCTTTTGTGTTTTTTCTTGACATTCATAATATGCATATTATTCTATCTATTGTCTTCTTCACTTTTACCGGGTTACAGCCCAGTGTCGTGGTTTAAAATATTTGTTTTGTGCTTCTCGCGTGATTTGAGTGACAGTTTTCTGGATCTTCTGGCCGTATTCAGCTACTCCATCTATCCATTTTTTCCTAGGTCTTCCTCTGACCTTTCTTCCCGATGTTCTACTGTAAAAGGCCTTACAGGCAATATGATCCGGTTGCATTCTTACTAAATGGCTAAACCACTTCATTCTCTGTCTTTCAATATGTTTCATGCATGCTCTTGTCCCAACTGTGTCTCTAATGCTGACGTTTGTGACTCTGTCTCTTCGTGTATTGTTGGTGACTCTTCGGAAACATCGCATTTCACACGTAGTTATTTTTTGCATATGTGATTTGTTCATTGTCCACGTTTGGCACTGATAACATAACGTAGGGATGAAAATGCTGTTGATCATCCGTTGTTTGGCTGGTAACGAGATCTTTGGATGACGAAGAAGTGGGGCCAGTTGGTAGTTGACTGCATTGGTTTTTTTAACTCTAGCCTGTATCTCTTTATCGAGTCTTCCATCTTCTGTAAATATGCATCCTAAGTACTTGAATTCTTGAACTTGTTCTAACTGTATGTCATTGATCTTTATGTTTACATTACTGTGTTTCTTTCCTATGGTCATTACTTCAGTTTTTGAGGTGTTAATTTTCATGTCAAATTTTGTACAGTTAGTGGGCAATGAATCAACATGTTGTAGTTTTTGTTCTTTTTCTTGTAACAAACATTGGTCATCTGCAAAGAGTAGTTCATTTATAATATCTGTGTTTTGGTTTGACTCCTGTGCAATTTTATCCATATATGTGATGAAGAGTAGGGGTGATAGGACACATCCTTGTCGTACTCCTGATGTAATGGGGAACCAGTCTGTCATACCTTCCGTTGTTCTTACAGCGCTCTGGCTATTTTGATAAAGAGCCATTATGTTTCCCAATAATTGACCCGGTACACCATATTCTTCAAGAATGTTCCATAGTTTATTTCTGTTAACCCTGTCAAAAGCCTTCTCTTGATCAATGAATATAAGATTCTGGTGTTTATTATATTCGATTGTCTGTTCACAAATTTGCCGAAGAGTAAACATTGCATAAGTGCAGCTCTTTCCTTTTCTAAATCCAAACTGATTGTTACTTAATTGAGGTTCTAATATCACTCTCGCTCTTCGTTCTAATATTTTTGCAAACATCTTTCCTACATGGCTTTGTAAAGAGATACCTCTGTATGTTTCACAATCTCGTTTATCACCTTTCTTCTTCCATGTGGGAACTATAATTGCTCTCTGCCAGTCAACGGGAACTTTCATTTCTTCCCAGGCCATATTGAATATTCTTGTCAGCCATTTTACTGCTGTTGCCTTACATGCAAGTATTATGTCTGTTGTAATACCATCTGTTCCGGCCGCTTTGTTTCTTTTGCTTTGCTCTAGGATCTTTTCAACTTCAGATTCTAATATATTAGGTTCTTGTTCTTGTCCAAATTTTATTTTATTAGACACTGGTTCTTGTGGTCCACTATTCAGTAATTCAGTAAAATATTCTCGCCATCTTCTTTTAACATCTTGGGATTTGGTGAGTGGTTTTTTTAGCCTGGCTGTTTATGATCTTTGATGGGTTAAATTTCTCTTCTCTCAGTCTCAAAGCCTTGATGCTTCGGTAGAACTGACCTGGTGAATCAGTGCATAGCCTTGCTAATTGTTCTCCGTAGTTTGCCCATGATTCTGATTTCGCCGAATTTACTTTCCTCTTGCTCTTTGCTCTTGCTTTTCTATATTTGATGTAGTCCTCATCTAATTTGGACTTTTGCCACTGATGAAAATATTTCTTCTTTTCTTTGATAGAAATTTTAACTTCTTCATTCCACCATGCTGTTTGTTTCATGTGCCTTCTTGGCTTTCGGAGTCCGCACTTTTCTGTCATTACATTCAGGATGCAGGTTTTAAAAATTTGCCACTCTTCTTCTATGTCATTTCCTTTCTCTAGAGTACTGAAGGTGTTTTTCCTCAACTTGAATTGCCACATCTTTGTCTTTTAGTTTCTCTATGGCTATCTGATCCATTAGCTGTGGTGTTTTATCAATGCAAACTCTTGTTGGTTTATAGAGCCAAAGTACTACAGGTCTATGGTCAGAGTCTATTATTGCATTTGGGATGGCCCTGGAGTTCTTTATTCTCCATCTGTCGCTCTTTTTTGTGAGAATAAAATCTATCTGTGATGCTTGGTTAATATTATTCCATTTATACCAGGTCAATATCTTGCTTCTCTTATGTTGGTATAGCGTGTTGCTGATAATTAGTTCATGCTCTGCATATACATTGAGTAATTGTTCTCCATTGTTGTTACATTTATTTTCTTTGTCACTAAATGGTCCCATATATGTGGACCATGGAGGTCGACGTTCTCCCACATGTCCGTTGAAATCTCCCATCACATACAAGTCATCAGTGTCTGTAAATTTACTGATGGTTTCACTAAGTTCGTCAAAAAATTATGTTCTTTCTTCTTCAGTGTAAGTGTCGTTACAAGGAGCATATACTTGAATATACGATACTCTTCTTTTACCAGCAGCCAGTCTGATACTTATGATTCTCTCTGACACGAATTCTGAATCTAGTAAATATTTTGCTGTTTCTGGAGCAATGATAAAACCCACTCCATGTTTGTTAGTTTCTTGTGGTTGAGTCCCTTTCCAAATCAAAACAAAGTTCTTATGAATTTTCTGGACGCCTTGAGCTTTTCTTCTGATATCAGCAATTCCCAAAACTTTGATTTTACTCTTAATCATAAATTCAACCAATTCAGCCACTTTATCCCCAATACCACAAATGTTCCATGTAGCCATTTTAAAAACTGTTGTGCCAGATCTGTCTATCTTGGCCGCTGTTTCTTTTATGACTCTGTCTTGTGTGTGGCGGTTTGAAGCGCTGGTGTAATCGCGCTTTTTCTTCAAAATACACCATAAATCTTGAGCAATGGCGCTTGAACAAACAAATCCCCTACCGGCTTGCTGGGCCTGTCGTTGGATCATCCTTGTTTGAACAATAATTTGATGGAAATCCCCTAAAACAAAATTTATCAAAACTGCATAGTGATAGCCGCAGCTTATTCCGCCATCTTGGCCAGGTTTTTGTTGCATATTATTATATGAACATAACTTGCTTCATTGATAAAATACAACTACTGTGTGAAAGATACGTGTTTGGAAGGACTGAATGTAGTAAGACAAGCCTGCGTGCCCAATTTGTGACCCTTTGAAAACAAAGTTTATTCCTCCCCCCCCCCCCCCCCTTTTCCGCCTATATACCACACATATACCATTACTCCATGATGCCACACAAAGAGGCAAAGAGACACATTGATCATTTAGTGTCTCTGCATTACTTTGACAAAACTATGCCATCAGTGTGAAAGTTTTACTTCTTGATATATTATTACATTTAAGATAACTTCATAGTTAAACTTAACTTGTTCCATTTCCTCCTTTTCTCCACCTCAAACTTTATTTATTCATCCCATGTAGTGATACCATTGTTTTCAAGTAATAAATACGGGATAAAATTGTTGATATTACTTATGATCCCTGAGTACTAGGGTTCGATTTGAGCGGTGAATATGTTTTTATACCATTTCTGTAGCATTTGAGCAGTGGTATAAGAGTCACACTGTGGCAGAGATTGGGGCCACATCACGTAATATTCCTAAAGTCAGCAGTGGTATAAGAGTCACACTGCAGAGATTGGGGCCACATCACGTAATATTCCTAGTCAGCAGTGGTATAAGAGTCACACTGCAGAGATTGGGGCCACATCACGTAATATTCCTAAAGTCAGCAGTGGTATAAGAGTCACACTGCAGAGATTGGGGCCACATCACGTAATATTCCTAAAGTCAGCTGTGGGTGTACTGCATCCAACCTTCACTATATAGACGGCACATAATTTGAATTTCTTTGAATTAACATAATGAATGTTGAATTAAGAATCACTACAGCAGCCTGGACATATACAGAAGTGATCCATCTATATCTTCAGCAGTAAGTGCACAGTTCCCATTCTGATGGCACCAGTAACAGTCTATTTATCTTAACTTTCCCTTGAGTGTCTGATCATTCTCCTGGTCATTCCTCGTTGAATAAGCAAATCAAGGCTGTTAATTATTGAAAATTGCGTTTTTATAATGACACAGTTTCACAGACAATTAGTTAGATTAAGTTTGCCAATGTTTATACTGTCAATTTAAGTTATTCCAGAATTGTTTTTCATCAATAAGAAAGTATTCTCTTGACAAGCTCAACTGCCTTAAAACAATAACAAAACATACCAGTAACACAATCTGCACACTTTAGGTCACCCACTAAAAAGATTCGCTGCAGCTCATCTTCAATTATCAGCTTGTCTTCAGGACTTGCGTACCTGCTTCTGATTGGCTGAGGCATCAAATTGTGCTAAAGATGATATACATATATAAATAATTTAGTAAGATAAATTCTTGTAGATTACAAGAACGGATTTACAAAGTAAAAAATTTACATTTAATTACTGTTTGTAATAATTCAATTTCATCTCCATCAACTTAGCTCTTAGACTTTGCTGAAGTCATTTGATGTCACATCACTGCACCCTATTTTATGCAATTTTCTTCACTTTCACAGACATCTGGGCCTTGATACCTTTGCATTTTTGTGTGGGAGTATGTATGCAGTTAGAATATTAGTATACATGTTTTCCCCTTGAAACGATTACTGAAGCAAACCATACTTCATCACCTCTTACCAGATATATGGTAACATAGGGACAATCTATGACAGGGTAAAGTGAAGAACCTCTTCATAGCATGGCACACTGGACATATGGTGCTAAACCTATATGTTTATAGACCAATTTTACTTCCCCATACACTACCTCATACACCTTATTAGGCTGTGTCGACCTGGGAGTAAAGGTCAATTCTTAAGAAAAACACGACAACTTCAATAGGGATTTAAATCATTGACCTCCAGGTCAGTAGTGTCTAGCCACTACGCTATCACTGCTCCCTTCTGGGAAACAGATAATGAAAACTGCTAGCATTACTAACCTCTTCACTAATCTCTTTAAGGATGCTCGGCCGGAGCTCCATGTGTTTGAACAGTGTTCCAATGATTACACATCTTTCATCACTGGATAACTCGTGCAGCTTACGCTGAGGAATTCCTTTACCTGAACATACAGAATTCAATAATACAATATACATGCAAATACAAGTTTATGGCTAAAACACAATATAGAACTCTGGTTTTAAAACAAAGTCACGTATTTTCAATTCTAATGTTATTTCAATTTTAACATATGGCAGTGAAAGTTGGAGACTTACTAAAGACATGGAACAAAAATTAAATGCATTGAAGAATAAATGCTTGAGAAAACGGATGAACATTAAAAAGGATGATCTGAAAGGTTAAGAAATAAGAGAAATATCTGGGCAACCACTTGTATCAACAGTTATAAGAAAAAGACAATGGCAATATATTGGGAACATAGTGAGAAGAAGCGAGCACAGAATCACAAAACAGGTAATGAAATGGAAAACAAATGAACTTAGGAAACAAGGATGATAGAAAACCTAAGAGAAACATAATTGAGCCAAAGGTTCTGGCCTGGATACCATCGATCATATAGAAAAGGACTGCCTGAATAAAAGTGGATGGAAGACAGGACTACGAGCTCATGTAATGTATAATTATACAATAACATGATGAGGATAACAATGATGATGACAGCTGGAACATAAGCAAACAACAAGCTATTTACTGTCAGGCTTAATACAGACTATAAATCATAAACAAACTAAACTTGGCCGTTTGCATTCATTAACTCCAACAACTAGTTTACAGAGCAAATGTTTAATACTGTTACTATTATCTTCTTCTTTGCGTTCACCAGCTGTAGACTCCGGCGGAAAGTTCTAGTTATTCATCCACTTCTAGATTTTAGTTTTGATGCAGAACCTGAGTTTTGTGTGCACATCTGTTTTACAGATCTGCTTTATTTGTATACAGACTGTTGGTTCCTTGCCTCTAAGATGCACGCCGATTTCAAAGGAAACCCCTCTTACATACTAATATAGTGGCTGCGTGGTCTTGAAGCATGCTGTCCGCCTCGAGTGCTGGAGGTTCTGGGTTCAATCACACAAAATCCCTTGGCAGTTGGAAATCAAAAAGAGTAGCCTAACGGCGCTGCCCGGGCAAAATGTGGAGTTGAAAATCTACTCAAAAAAGTATTTCAGGATCCTCGCCGGTGCTACAGAGCCTGTGAGCCTGTACTGAGCTTCTTCAGACTCTTGACTTGAGTTAGAAGAACGGAGCACTTACAGGTTACTACCCGCGTGCAGTGATGTTGATCCGTTGTTCAAACCCCAAACCATACGAGTAGTCCTACGTTTACTTAGGTTAGGGCGCCGTGGAAAAATGTTCATTTAAACTTTAACAAGTTTGGGAAACACTGGTATACACTAGCGACTACGGTGTTCGGCAATTTGCAGTCTTTTTGGGAATTTCCGTTACCCGGTAACCGTTCAAAACTTGTTTGGGAAATGTCGGCTGGTTTTGGGATGGGTCCTAATCTCTTATGAAATTTTGCGATTGGTGTGATTTTGACCAGCTATAAATAGCTGAAAACGGCGGGAACGAACCCGATTAATAGCACATGTCTACCACAGCCTGACGTGCTGTTTTTCTGTTACATCAGTTTGATTGAATATAGCGGTAAGTATTCAAGGTTGGCTTTAGGCTTTAACATTACTTGACATGGTAATGATAGTTATAATTGAATTCTCCGTCCAATTTTACATTTGTATATAAAATTTCTTTCTTATGTATGGCTTAGTCGATTTACAGTAGACATTTTTTCAGGCAATCGCTATTACGGCTGTGTCTAAAAAAAATTGTCTGCCATCTTGTCTTGTGACTTATTGACCTTTAAACCATAACAGTTCTTAAATAACTCCTGTTTCTGGGACGCGAGTTTTAACAGCTGTTTGTTTACATCTCATTTCCACAAAAACCTAGATATCTGGGCTTAGAATTGACATACAAGCATAAATTAGGTACCGTTGGAAAGAGATTGTTTACAGCTATCTAACTGTGCTGGTTTTATTGGTATAGGAGGAGCATTATGAAAATTTGACCAAAGTACATAATACACAGTTGCAGAAAAGAAAATGAAGAAAAGTTTACGAGGTGCAACGTGAGAGTGAACATTTTTGTCACATATTACAAAATTAAGGAACTGAAGACATTTCATTTACCCCATTTCTTCACTGCGGCATCTGACAGTCGCTTTCGCATCGTAAGCAATCTCTCTGCGTAAAGATGAGCATACTGGCGATTGAAGTTTCGGTCCTTCACAACAAAGCGATCATTTTTCCTAACAAATTCACCCTTCGATCGAGTGTACTGTAGGTCCTCCTGTTTATTTGACTCTTGAAGAAAGGTGCCAACATTTTCAGCTTTTGGTGAGGAAGAGTAAATCATTTTTGTGAAATTACAGCATGCGAATAAACTTTAACAAGATTTGGAAGAAAAACATTCAGTGACAATCATAAATTGTTTAGCGCCACAGAAGCAAAATGTATGATTTGACTGGCAGTTTAGCAGTTGTTGGCTATTTTATACTGCTGGATCATGGGCAACGCTTATGGGGTGTTAGTTAGTTAGTTAGTTAGTTGGGTTATCCTCATTGCACTCCGGACATGTCCATAGGTGCTCAGATCCTCCCCTCAGTATGAACCCCAACGTCCGATGGCTAATAGTACCAGTTCTATGTTGATTAACAAGTCTTCTGGCGTAGCTGGTGTGCGTCTCGTTTTTTGCTGTGCCGATCTTAATTCCCAAGTCTGCCATTCTGGCGAGTGATGTGGATTCACTGCCACCAAAGTCGTCTATCCTTCCCATTTCTCTGAGGGCATTGATAATATCAGCATGATCCATAGGCTGACCGTCGGTAGTGATAGCGGATCCAGCCAACCTGTCAGCTCTTTCATTTCCATCGACGCCTGCGTGTCCCGGAACAAAAATAAAGGTGACTCCACGGATAGTGGACTTCTGTAATGATTCAAGCCATTGTCTTCGCACTGAACTTGCCTGAACCCTCCGGATCATACTCATTGAATCACTGAGTATACACACGCGGGTGTATTTTTGTGTTTCAAGCCAGGCAAGCGCTTGTGTCACTGCCATCACCTCCATCGTCATGCTGCTGGTTGTCATGGAGAAGGCGCCGTTGGCTTCTTTGACTGTTCTGCCCGCTGAGCGTGCTGTAAATGCCCATGCGCTTCTTCTTTGGCGTATAACGGATCCGTCTGTATAGATTATTGCATCTGCTTCGTCTGAATTTTCACCGATGAGAGCGTTGACCTCTGCATTAACAGCAACAGGATTGTCTTCTCTACATCGCCTGTTGAGTGTAACAATACAGGAAAATGTACAAATAAACGCCTGAGGCACAGGTATCCATTCTGCACCAGGTATGATGTCGGTTAGGCTGCATATTTGCCTAATAACATCTTCTGCCCGACCTAGCCACGATTTCCCCCTCTTCAGTCTGTCGCCCTTTTCACTAAAAAGCGCTTGATGCAGTGGGTGTTTCTTATCAGCACATATTTTGAGATATGCCCGAGCCCTCCACATCCTGATCCTTTGGTTCATTGTTGGAAAGTCAAGTAGATACCTCATTCCTCCACAGGATGTGTCTCTAGTACATCCCAAAATAATGCGCATGGCTTCATTTTGCACCTTTTCGAGTCGTTCAATCTGGGTAGCACTGACAGTGAGGATGGCCAGAGCGTATTCAATGGGGGAAAGGACCAGACCGTAGAATAGAAGTATTAGTAGTCTTTGCTCAATGTTGGAAGTAGCCATAATCCTCATTGCAGATAGACCTTTGCGTGCTTTTGTTATCACATGGTCAACGTGTTCCCTGAATGACAAGCTGCGATCGAACCTCACCCCGAGAAACGTCATAACGTTGGTTCTGATCAATACATTATCACGCATTTTCACTTCTGGTAAGTCCGACTTGACAATGTGATTGTTCAAAGAGAACCATGACACTGATGCCTTCGAAGGATTGACATAGGCATTGGAACCATCACACCAGGCGGCAATTCGATCGAGTTCTTTGTGCATAGTGCTGGCGATCTCCTGTCTATCACGCCCTCGTCGATAAATCAAAATGTCATCAGCAAATGACAAAGTCCTCCCCTTTCCATTCAACTGCTGCTCAGTGATCATCACCGTATAAACGTTGAATAAGACTGGTGATAGCGGTGATCCCTGTGGCAAGCCTGGACATATCGTTTGCGGTTCTGAGGACCAGCTACCACATCTTAGTACAATCTTTCTCTGGAACAGGACCGCAGCAATCCAGCGGATCAGAATAGGATTAACTTCTAGTTTAAGCAGTAATTGCATTAAATAATCGTATGGTACTTTATTGTAGGCATCTTCTAAGTCCAACACTGCCGCACATGTCTCTTCTTTAATCTGAAATCCCTCGTACACATCGTAGGCGAAAACTGCAGCATTGAACCATGTCTCTTTATTTAACCTGTACCCTCCAAGTGTTGGTGGGAACTTATCATGTAGTTCCAAGTAGGTGGTCAATCTTTGTGCGACAAATTTTTCCAAAAGTTTGCCAACAGTATTCTGCATCGAGATGATTCTGTAGCCGCAGATCTTCGAGTGGTCTTTATTAGGCTTTGGTAGTGGGAACAAAAAACTATGGAGCCATTCCTCTTGTATCTGGCCACTCTGGATGCTGATATTGAATTCCTTTGCCACGCTTTTCAAATCAGCATTCGACATCATCAGCATGTCGTTGTATCGGATGCCGTCAGGGCCTGGAGCAGTGCTGCGCGATTTCTTGAGGCAAGTTCTTAAGGTATCTGCAGTGATTGTGAGATCAGTGCCTAGCACAGTGTTCTCGCACAGCATCGACAGTTTCATCTTAACCCCCATTCTTGTAGTTTCGTCTTTTTGGTCAGTTTGCTCCAAGTAGCGCGCCAGAAGGGTTTTTCCTTTATCAGCATCAGTTCTCTGCCATATCAGGTCTGTACCCTGAAAATCAGGGATACCCCTTGGTCGTGCGGCACTGTGCATGCTCCGTTGAAGGCGCCAGAATGTCACAAGAGATCCCTCGGAGCAAACGCTCTTGCAGAATTCGTTCCATTTCGCTGTCTTAGCTTCCTTCGCAATTAACTTGAAAGCCACTGTCTGCTTGTTGACCTCATCTTTCAGACTGATCAGGCGTTCAGAAAGTGACGGATCAATTTTCCTTGCCTTTTGCCATGCCTTGACAGCTTTCCTTTTTTCTAGCCACGCCATGTTGACTACTTCATTCCACCATGGTGGCTGGGCCCATCTCTCCCGCCGTCTGCGATCTGCTCTTGTTTTACGTCGTCGGATTTTGCTAATGGCATCTTGCCCTGTACGGTCATATATAAAAGCAGGCACATTGATTACATGACCTTTGTTGTTGCTCTTCTCTACCAGGACGACGCAAGGAAAGTGATCACTGTCGTGGTATCCCAGTGTGCTCCACCTGCATCCTGATGCAATGGAGGGAGACACTAGGGCCAGGTCAATTACGCTGTCAGAATCTCCTTGTCGTGTTGCCATTCGGGTAACCTTTCCGTCGTTCAAGCATACTAGATTGGCAGACACTAGGGCATCCTCCAGGTCTTCCCCCTGTTTATTAGTGATTACATTGCCCCACTGGTGTCCTCTGGCGTTGAAATCTCCGCAGTAAAGGACTTTCTTTTCCTCCGTCTGGAGCAAACTCTGCCATTTCGCTGTATCCACCTTTCCATTGCAGGCGTACACATTGACAATCACAAACTGGGCCGGGCCCATCACTCTGACTGCGTGTACTTGTAGGTCGTCATTATTCCACTTAGACATGTCCACCTCAGACACCGGTATGTGGTCACGAACAAGAATGAGCTGTCCGAGGTGCCGTCTATGGGGTGATTAGGATTGAAAAGAAGGTGGTGCACTGCATCTTGTACGTTTCTTTCTCCTCTTTCCTTGTTCTTCTTCTTCTTTCGTTCGACTGAAAAAAGTTGTCTAAATCAGCAGTCTTGTCTCTTGTATAAATTTCACTGTCGCTGTTAGTTCATTCAGTGGTCCATAGAGTTTACGTTCCACTCTTTTCTCTAACTTACTTCATTGAAGCGCTATGACAATGTGAAAATCTGTAAAATGCTCTTTCTTAAAGGCTGTGAAAATTTGTCTTCACCCCATCCACTATTTAAAAAATGATTCTTAGTGCCAGCTCTCTATCTTTTGCATGGTCGCCAACTTGCTCTATGCTCATTATACTTCTCCGGCTCTGGTCTCTGTGGTAACTGGTACAACTCGACTGTAACAACAAACAAGTAACTACACACAAAACAAATTATGACAAACAGCCTGCATACAAAAAAGCAGATTTGTAAAACGGATGTACACACAAAATTTGAGCTCTGAAACAAAAACCTAATTCCAGACGTGTGCGAAAAACTAAGTGAAACTTTTCGCTGGAATTAAAAGCCCGTAAACGCTTAAAATAATAACCAGAACAGATTATGGCTGGAAAGCTTAGCGCAGTGAAAGAAAACGATCGGCACAAAGGTAGTTGAACGTTCCGACCAGACTTGGCGGACGAAACTATTTAAATTCGTGGTGGGCGTCTTTCTGTCAGTCTAATCAATAGTGTTAATATTGTGTTGCAGACTGTCACTTGTTCAGCCTATTAAGAAGGGGATACTGGCCCAGTGAGTCACCACAGCACACAAAGTTGTATGGGACTAAAATGGAACTCATAAAAACGGTCAAGTTTATCACAAAACCTGTCTGTCGGTGTAAATCGGAAAGCGAACACAAGAAGAAGAAGAATATTGTGTTGTAGAGAGGCATAAGGTTCATAGCCTACGACCATGACAAGTGTGACTGGCAAGTCCAGCTCGCGGAATTCGGTGCTTTACCAATATCTCCCCTGGATGACATCACTCGACAGTCCAATATTTTAGAGTGTGGTGAAAGCTGGTTTTCCGGCTCTCTGATGCCTTTAACTACACCAAAGCATCTAGAACTGGGCCTAACCCCAACCCACCTACGACCACGAAAGAGTGAAGCCTAGGTCCTACGACTGCATGCCACTTAGGTCGCGCGACTGCATGCAACCTATCTACTACCCCTTAAAATATTCGACTATCTGTTTGGATGGAGATATTGGGATAGAACTCAGAATTCTTTATCGGATTTTAGGATCCTTGCTGCCATCATATGCATTTAACGTGCTTCTGAACAGACATTCGGCTGTGAACCCATCTGCAACCCAAGACAAAGTTTCTTGTTCCCTCTGAAGTTACAACAAAAGACGAATTAAAACAAAGGGAGAATGCCAGACCAGTGAGATTTCCCCCTTAAGGACAAGCGACAAATTAGAGTATTCAAATCTGGAGAGAATGGTTCATTTCGGAGTGAACATATGA